TTATATTAAATAAATTAAATGCATGCACATGCATTTATAGAGGTACAATTGTAGATGAGCTCTAAACAAAAATGGTGATCGGAACCCATGACTAAGATTTCAAGGAATACAAAGTTAGTTAAAATATTCTATTGATAGATTGATAGAACGTTAGAAATATTAGAATTACAGAATTGAAAATTACCACAGTAGTTCGACCGCGTAATTGAGAAAAACATAAAGCCATTGTCATGCTATGATGATAAACGTGTAAGAATTCTAGAGTAAAAAGGAATAATTAATGAATTCAGAATAGCATACAAAAAATTACTACTATTATTATTATTACAAACCAAGAGGTTTTTTCCTTAATACCAAGAAAATAGTATCTGCAAGTTCCCAATATTTGACAAGATAATTCAAATAATATAACAATTCTAATCGTTGAGTCCATGCATCTTTGCTACATACAGAATGAAAAAGACCATTACGCCAATAGATTGGAAATAGTTGTTCGATGAACAGTATTAATAAACAGGCTGATATTACGGTTAACAATAAATTATGAATTTGAAAAATTAAATTGAGTTTTATGACTGGACTATTTGTTAAAAGTAATCGACCTCCAAATATCACGGCAAAATAAGTAATACCACTAATAACAACTTCAGTAAGTGTTGAAAAAGGCGTGACACCTTCAACGAAAGCAAAATCATTTGGATCTTTTCCTGTAAGTAAACTATAAATTTTTACAAAATAATCATCCAAATAGATTCCAAATGGGCGGTCTATCGATACCATGCCGGCCATCGATTAATATGATAAAAGAATAAATTTAATAGAACGGATTGTGGTTCGTAAAATATAACCTTTAAATTGTAATCAATTATTTTGATCTAGTGTTTTAAGTCTATATTAAATTGAAGAAAATTAATATTTGATCCGATGAAAAAAGAACAAGTTAGACAAAGCTATATCTTTTATTATCTTTTATATCAAAATTCACGAAAATTTTCAAATCTTGTTACACACATAGTTAAAAGGAAAAAATTTTTTTTAAAAATGTTGGGGACTTGGGGCAATGATGAGACAGATATGGGCGTGGTTTCTGCATATCATAGTGATAATTTCGAAATGCATATTTAGACCAAGAAAAAAATAACAAATGTCACTATATAGCTTGATGATACATAAATTAAATAGAGTTTTGATTTACGTAATATCAATAGATCACTCATAAAATGAAGTAACGTTTCTCAATTCTCGAAAAGATTTTATCTATTAACGTTAACTAACTCTTGTGGATAAGATATTCTTATTAGTCATCACATAATCGGGTAATTTCTCGGGTTAGTCATGCTATATAATATTAATATAATGGCCCTTTTTAAAATACAACTTCCCCGTTACGGCAGTTACTCAGATAGGCAAGTCACGGGGCATAAGTTT